CGCGTGTGTATCTATGTATGTGTGTTTGTTAGTTAGTTAGTTAGTTAGTTATGGCCCAGCCCTAGTCATGAACAAATCCCCGAGGTGCTCCTGCACTCGTCCCTCACGCTCCGGCTCTCAGATAAACTCAGTTCTTCAGTTTTGGTTCCTCTGCCTCTGTCAGTTCGTGTGAACGCTTTCTTAATTTCACAGAAGAAACAGGGAATTCATTAAAAATCCAAAATGGAAATAAGCTTAAGTGAAAGCAACTTTTTGATATCAGTTTTGGTTTTAATGAATTTTATTTGTTCAGGCAGAGAAGAAGAAGACAGAAACAGGAGACGGACCGAGCTCTTAATAAATGAGACGAGCTGAGATTTAAGATTGATTATAAAAGGAATCGACGGGATGAAGTAACGTGGCTCGCATCCAGTGATGATAAAACAGTCGATCAGTATTCGTGTGTAACGTCTCTAAGTGACTGTCTGCACGCTTTTACCCATGATTCACTGCTGCCTGCAGGACAGGTCACACCTTCTCCTTCACAGTGGAGCGAGTGCGCGGAGTCCAGAGGCCCATCAGGAGGCGGCGCCGAGCTAAAATTATCTTTGTAAATGACTCTTAAATTTTGGATTAGATGAGGTGCGCTACACTCCGGCTCTTGCAGCTGTCAAATCGCTCGAGATGACGCCATCGCTCATTTCCTCAACACGAACCGAGCCGGCGCCGTGTCCCGACAGCACTGAGGATTCTGGGAGTTTGGTGTGTTAGAGGGGCGTCGCTCTCTGATCAGCTTCAAACCTCAGTGACCTGATGTTTTTAGTCTTTGTGAGTGTCCTCATGTATTGAACTTCCAGCTTGATTAAAATCCGTCCCACACATGAGCAGAGACGGACGCCACCTCCGCACGTCACACTGACGCTCTGACTGAAGATCACATGTAGTGTTTTATCTAAATAACGTCTGCGCTCCCTTCGTTCTCTGCTCACCTCCTTTAGTGTGAGGATGTCGTTTTCAGCGTGGAATTTTTCAGCCTCTAAATCTATAAAAAGCTTCATTGATTTGGGTGAACTGTTGAACAGCCCAGAGGGACACATGTGGCCGTTTCCATCCTTTGATTTTTTTCCATCCTTTAGTTTAGATTTGATCCACGATCAGTATGAAGACGGTGCGGTGAGGTCAGCTGACCCCGCCTGTGTTAGTGCTAACCTTCGAGGGTCGGCGGTGACCTGCTGGACGTTAGGAGGCTTCGGCGCCGGGCTGCCGTTTCATATTCGACGTGGATTTCTGGAGCGCTGCTGCTAACGAGAATGAACGAGTGCTGCGGTCAACAAACCTGCTCATCAAAGGTTCGTGCTCAGCAGACAGCACAGGTGGGG